GTTCTTCATAAAAAACCACCTATACTTGCCATCAATTTAGAACACATGAAATTCTCAATTATTAGCGGGCACTTATAAACATGATCTTATTTGTTATAGGAGAAACTATAGCAAGTTTAAATTATAATCTTGGTATAATCAAACTAAATAAACAATTCTTCAACTTGGACCTAAATTAGCTTCTACAAATAGAGGGTCGTTAGTCCAGTGCACAGACATATAATATTAAATTTCTAACCAAAATTATGTTACATCAAAGCATTTCAATGAGGGTCTCTAAGATTTCCTTAAATTTTTCTCTAAATTGTCCTTATAGCTCACTTCAGCACTGTAACTTAACTTATTCTTTCGCAAGAGTTGAGTAGAATCTTTATAAGATCAATTTACATAATTAATCATTGGGATGCAGCCCTTCCAACCTCATTCTTCTCTTTTAATTTGATCTATCTCTCTGATACTATCATAATATTCTTTCACTATTAACATGCAATCAAATTTCTATAGTTTAAGAAACCACAATAAATACGTATTTATCATCAAAAGAGGAGAATTCTTTTTTGAATTATTTTGCCTATGTGATTATCTATGGAGGGCTAATCTAATGTTTCAATCCTATAGTTACACACACACTCTCTCTCTCTTTCTCTCTCTCTCTCTCTGAAGGTCTAAATTTAGGATCACTTGAAAACTGATGTACCATTTGGCGAGAAATTGCTTAGAACTACCAGAATTAAGGCAACGCTGAGTCACATTCAACAAACACCAAATCATGACAATACTATGCTTCAAAATTGTACTACTTTTGTCATTTGCCCGTTGTAAACTAATTTCTTACACAAAGTCGTATTTAAGCCATTATGTTGCAGAACCATTTTATTTCATCATTTTAGCACATATTTGGTGCTTGGTATGGAAAAATATTATATCATGACTCCTAACATAGAGCTACGTTCGGATTGGAATATCCGGTTGTGTTACAAGAATATTCTATCTGCGTTATTAGTAAAAATGATGTGTTATGTGATTATTCCATCGCGTTATTTGATTTGGGACTAAAGTGCTATTAGAATATTCTCCCGCATTACTTGATTTGGGGTTGTGTTATTTCAATAACATAGTGGAAATTGAAATAAAACGGAGAATATGTCAAATAACACCTCAAATCAAGTAACACAGAGAAATATTTCAATAACACCGTAGAATAATCGAATAGCATCATATAATACTCGAGTAACACATTATTTTTGCAAATAATGCAGATGAAATATTCATGTAATACGGCAAAATATTTCAATCCGAACGTAGCTTTAGGGTTACGTTAGGTGTCATGATGTAATATTTTTCCTGCTTGATACATGTAACCTGACAAGGCCTTGCTATTGAATAGCCCATCTCCCATTGGCATGCAGCTTATACATATAAATATGATAAAACTGATGAGATATATATATATATATAGTAACAAGCTAGAATTACATTTGATGTGATGTGACAAGGGAGCTCAAGTTGTCAATCAGAGTATATCCAGACAACATCTTAGTTACACTACTATAAAATAAATACAAGATATTGAAATCCATGCTGGAGAATTTTTGTATCCCATATTTATTCTCTACATGATTCACATGTCAATTATATACTTGTCATGATAATTTCAGCTAGCAGCATTACTCTTTACGCAAATATGCACACATAATTGGACTGGAATTCAGTATTTGAACAACCACATATGAAAATCATTGTGAAGAACTCTTATGCTATTTTATCTTAAGACAAAATAAATCTCCATATGATAATTAATTATTCTTTATAGAAAGGTATATGTAAGAAAAAAAAAAAATCAATGAAAATGTTACTCATTTTGTATACGGATTTATACATTTTTTAAAGGTAGATTTATTGGTGATGTATGCACAAATTTAAACATAATATAAAAATGGCCATAAAATGATTCTTTATGGAATTGATCTCTTATATGAATTTTGTCCTCTTCCTTCAAACTTCAGCACTGCTCAAATAATAATGCTTCTTAGGATATTATATGATACGGATTTCATTATTTTGCTGTCTTTTGTTCCCATTCACAATGTGAAAAGAAATTTTTTTTTAAAAAAAGGAAGAGAGAAAGAATAAGAGGAAGGGAGGTGAGTCCGTTGGTGAAATCTATCTTTGTTAGCTGAACTTTCACTCTTTTCTTTTCTCAAGAATGTTCAAACAATGGAATCAATGTCTGTAGCAATTATGTGATTTCCATATCCAGAAAGAGATCAGTTATTGCTGTGTGTTAGGATTATATGTCATTTCAAACGAAGGAATCAAGTTTCATAAATTCATGTAGCTAATTTCAGGTATCATTTCTTCACCAATAATACACCAATGATTTGATAAAACAAAGTATATAGCAATGATACCTGCAAAATAAGAATTAAGAAAAACATTTTTTTTTTTGGGCAGACTGAAGTTTTGGTGAAAGTTGAGGCCCGATAAATCATTTAAGATTATACAGAAAAGGAAGATTTGAATAAGATTTGAGAAAACATATTTATTAAAAATCTTTTGGAACACTTGCCATAATAATTAAGCTTCTAAAATAATAGATAATAATAGAACTTTACATATTACTATTATATAATCTATGGCAACATCTAGAATTGTATCTTGATAGACACTTGGCTTCAATAAATGTTTGTTATGCACTGATGAAATGTATTGGTTATCCAACTTCTCCGGATGGTAAACTTTTCTTGAAATTTGGTGGAATTTTAGGCCATTGATAAATTTTAATTAGATTACGGGTCAATATATCAGCTCAAGCTCCTTTAGAACCAACATATAATTAGCTCAAATAGAGCATGGAGGAAAATGATGGATGTCTTCTTCAGGATTGATTTATCTGTTATGTTTTTTATCCTTCTTCAGCAAAGTGGAGAAGATGTTATAATGAGAAGAGGGGGGAAGGAAAAGTTTTGTGAGAGCCAGGGCACATGATAACCTGAAAGAAAGGAAGAAAGAGTTGATACTCCCCCACAATCATATATGTTCAAGAAAACATTTTAATACAATTCATAATCTGTCTGCGATTTCTCTATGAAAATAACATAAATTGTATGTTAGGTAGCTCATAAATGAGGATGGTGTATATGTCCATTCTTAATGTCGGTCTTGACTTTTGCATTATGACAGTTTTGAGGATCACCAATGAATCGAGTTAAGTCAGTGAGTTTGATTGGTTAATTTGTCATATGTAATAAGTAGACTAGTTCCACGAGCCAATTCCTTAAGTCAATCAGACATGTCAACTTGGCATCATGTAAAACAACTAACACATCGATGAGTCGCATTGGTAGATCACTTCGGTGACAATCAAATCTTTTTGATAATCAGGCCGGTAAAGATGCAGTCTTAGGCCCAATAAGGCTAATTTATGTGTGTGTGAGGGCACAAACACACACAAATATTATATATATCTATTTATACATTTCAAGTGTGTCATTCTTTGTAAATAAGCTTGAATAAAGATCACTCCACTAGACTGACCAGGGTAATCCCCTTAATTACATGATGTTTTTTGAGTATTTGAGTATTAATGATGTATGAGTTAAGTAATCTTGATCTTGTTGTTGGACTTACCTCTTCGAGATGCACAATTTGACTATAAATGTGTTATAGATGGTCCTAATTTGATTTTGAAAGCTTTCAATTCTTAAATATATATATATATATATATTGTTGAATCATTTTAGGGTATAGTTTTAGGGTATAGTGTCATGTATTCTTTGTGAGTTTATACAATTGAGCAAAGACCCTGTTTTTAGGAGGCATGTATGGAAAAAGATGATGGAGCATTGATGGAGCTCATGCTTCTCACTCTCCATATGACAAAAAATAAATATAAAATTATATTTTGTACATTACCACACCTCTCCATGATATCTTAGTGAAAAGATCATGATGCTTTTGTCAAAAGGCTCCATAAATAAGAATTGACACATTTACCTGAAGATAATCATGGTCTTCCAATGGAGGATTCATCCTTAGTTAAACCTATTACTTTGAGAGTGGATTTAACTCGACTCTTCTGGCAGCATAGCTTGAAAATAACACAATCTATGGATATAGGCCTTCGAAGCCCAGAAAGCCCATTAATGAAAAAAACCTCATAATATATATATATAATGTTATTATGTGCTAAACACAGATAAAAATCATTTTAATGTACAAATACTAATAATAAATATTCAATAATGAAAATAATAATAAAGATTTACATGCATTCCACTCAATTCTTTCATATTACATATCTAACATGCATACTTTTATCTATGAATGAGAAGGTGTATTTCACTTAGAAAAATTAAATGAGTGATAGCTTTGATCTGATACGAAAGATTTTATGATATAAAAGTAAAAAACAAATGTCACAAATAATAAAAAAGATTCATTTATTAAATATATATGTTAGAGATTTTGTAGATTGTAATTTATAAGAATGCAAAGACAAAACGAAAGCACGCGCGCAGCTGATGTACAATACATCTCCTCAATACATTTCACATAGTCAGACATCCACCTTCTTATCCATTAGAATTTTCTTTAAAATAATAAATGACATAAACCGCAAGGCCTATATTTAAATCACAATAATTAAAACAAATTTTCTTTTAAAAAAAATCAGTTTAATATAAAAAGAAAAAAGAGAACCACATAAAACAAGAACCAAAAAAGCTTGAGGCAACAGTGTACAGAGTCAGTAAAGGGCGGAGTGGGAGAAGCATAGAAACAAACAAAGAGACCATTAACCAAAAAGAAAATAAATAAATAAATGAAATTAAATAAAAAGAATAGATAAAATTGATACAGAAAACAAAATAACTTTCCTACTTCCCCTAAATTTCGGTTGCTGTTTTAATTATTTTTCTTTTTTTTTTTAATTTTTTTTGTTCTGCTTTTTCTCTACAGAGCAGAGGGGAAAAGGCACGAATAGTAGTGGGACTGTGTTCCCGCCATAAACTACGCACCACCAAATCCCCTGCCAAAAAAGAGAATGAGTTAATAAAACAAGAAAAATAAAACAATAATAGTACTATTTATTTATAAATTTTTTTATATTTCAAAAATTTTGTATTTACATATGTACGCCCATAGTGCTCGTATACGCATATTTCCCTGCGGGCCTCTATATATATGTAGGAGTTGTGGTTCGTTAAGGCTCCACCCTTCCTTCTCCTTCGGCGGATAGGCCAGGCCATTGAAAGCTCTGAAGAAAGTAGAGAGAGAAAAAAAAAGACTGGAGAGAGAGAGAGGTTGTTAGAGATAGAAAGAGAAAGTTTAGGTGAGGAAGAAGAGGAAGGAGAGATCATGGGCAGAGAAGGGAGCTTGCCGGGTTGGCTCGGGGGACTGGTGGAGGAGAGCTTCTTCGTTGGGTGCGGGACCCACGAGAGCATGAAGAAGAACGAGAAGAACATATTCTGCCTCGACTGCTGCACCAGCATCTGCCCTCACTGCGCACCCTCTCACCCTTCCCATCCCCTCCTTCAGGTCTGTTTCTTGGTCACTTTTACACGTTCCCTTCTCCCTCTTTCTCTCTCTACTGTATTCCGTTGAGAGTCGCAATGTTTTAGGGTTTAAGCAAAGGACAATAGTTCATGTAATAGTGGTAAGCGCATTTTTTTTTACTTTATTCTATTTTTTTAATTTATTTTTTTTTTATTTTTAATGGTTCTTGGTTGGTTTTCTTTTAGTTACCGTTAGAATTATCTGAAATTGTTCATAGTTTAAGAGTTTGGTTGATCGAAAACTTTGCGCCACTCATGTCTCTTTTTCTTGCTGCATTAAATTAGTCTCACTTTTTTAAGATTTGAGGTTATTTTTGCAAACCTTATGAACTACTTTTAATGCATCATTCAATTTTGAAATTTTAAGTTTCTAATATAACATTTTTCTGTTTGGTTACAAGCCTCCTGTTTTGCAAAATTTTAACTGTTTTTTAAGTTAATTTTACAGAACATTTTTTTATCACAAAAAAAACATTTTTTTTTTTTAATTTTGTTAAAAGCTTATATTGTTTCTGCAAAAAAATCACTCCTTTTTCATGTTCATGCTCACTTCTTGTGGCAGGAGTTTTCCGACCTGTTTTGCTTTTTATGGAAACATCTTTTGCTTACCGGTGCTTTCTGGTCTCTAGTCCGGGATCACTTTTTTTTGTCAAATTGCAATTAATTGCGAAATTCAATTAATTTATTATATTTCTTTCCTTTCATCCTTCCAGAGTTAAAATATAAGTAAGTCCCATAATTCTGATTACTTTTCAATCAACCATTTTTAGAAAATATTTTTGTAAATCAATAATAATAATTTTAAAAGACATCGCAATAATAGTGAAAGCATTCAAACTTTTTCCATGCTTTTTCCAAAGCATCTATGCATTCATAAATGAAGTCGGCTCGCCGTTTTCACTCTTTTCTCGAGGTCAAAAAAATGTTTAATAAAATTTCAACTTTACAGCTTATCTAAAGTACTGTATTACCGTTCTGCCCTCCAGTAAATTTCCTTTCCTCGATGTCTGTACCTGTCGTCAGAGGGGTAAAAATGTGTTGGTGCCATTACCCTTGTCCCCATTCAGTAAGAATGCTCCGGTCAAAAAATAGTGGTAATAAATACTAAATCTGAGGCAATTTTACCTAATCACTCCAAAAAACTTGTTAGATTCTCTTGCCGGGGCCAACGTGGAAACAATATTTATTTAAATTAACATCCCACGGATCTAATTGTTATGATTTAATATAATAAGACATGAAACTTTTTATTCTATTATTAATCGGAATTCTTATTATTGGTTTATAATCTCTAGTTAAAATAAATAATGATGATAATTAGTTTAATTCTATTTTATTCTTAAATTAATTAATTATAGGTGAGGCGTTATGTGTACAATGATGTAGTGAGATTGGATGATCTTGAGAAGCTCATCGACTGCTCCTTCGTTCAGGTATATTAATTTACTTATAAATTTAGTTTATTCCCATAATATCCTAATTGTTCAAAATTATTAGAATTAACTTTTTTTTTTTTTTTTATTTGCCCTAGTGCAAAGGTAATCTTTTTAAAGCCAAGGCCTCAATCGAGGCCGTTCAAGGGTTCTGGTAATATTTGCCTCAGCTGTGACAGAATTCTCCAAGAGCCTTTTCACTACTGCTGCCTCACCTGCAAGGTAAAATTTTTTTGATCTCAGAGATGTTATATTTTAGTTTTAGTATTTTATGAACAGGGTTTTGTCCGGGAATAACATTTGCATATTTGTTACAGGTTGAGCATGTGGTGATGCAGGGGGCTGATTTATCAAGCATACTGTTCCGATTCGATGAATCCGACTTTGCTTTCACCCATTTTGAGAGCCTGAGGATGGATGGCTCCGATTTGCTTGAAGATGACGGTGCCGGCGGCGGCCAGATTACGCCGAATTCCATCTTGGAAGATCCGCTGCAGTACAAAGGGAGCAGTGGGGGATCAAGTGCTATTGATGGTGCGAGAGGTGCTGTTGGTAGGAGTGATGCGGTGAAGAGAAAGAAGAGCGGAGGTGTTGGAAGTGGTGGTGGCGGCGGCGGCGGCGGCGGCGGTGGTGGCAGTGGCCGGAGTTTCTTTCCAGGAATAGTGCTGTCTCTGAGTAACCGTAGGAAGGGTGCTCCTCATAGGTCTCCGCTTTCTTAAAATCGTTAATGGAAGGGAGTCTTAGGTTAATGAAGTTAGTTTAGGTACTAGTGTTTGCATGTTGATTTGTTTTGTGGTATCAAATTACTGTAGATTGTATTGCCAAGAATGCGCCTGCTAGCTCAGTTATGGGGGGTATTTAGGGCATAAATGTAATGGTATTTTGTTGTTTGGGGGGAATGGGTAATTTCCATCACCTTCTAGGTGGGCACAGCAGGTCATATTTGAGGCTGCAGTGGCTGCCAATTTTGTATTTAGGTGATGGAATATTAAATACTTCTACATCATGAATATGAATATATAATATAATATTTATGTAGATTTCAACGCGATCGTATGTGCTTTTTTTAATATTATTTGTTCAGTATGGCTTTTTTTTTAAAAAAATATGAGGTATGTGAGAGAGTGAGTTATAAAAAGTGTACTTTGGTCTCCATCTATACTTATTGTCTTCAATGCCTTGGCCTTTGACCAGTGCTGCCTCGACTGGCGTACATAGGTCTTCTTGGAGGGGTATGTGAAAGTAGAAATATTTTAGGGTTTTGATGTTTAATGTTTTACTAATATTGGCTACCAGAGCAGTCTGTTTCAGTCCCACAGTGACTTGAGACTGAGCTCACTTTCTCTCACTTGTTTCTCTCTCTTATAACTCCTCTCTCTCTCTCTCTCTCTCTCTCTCTCTCTATGCACAGTAGGTATTGGAGAGAAGCTGCTGCATGTCCAGTAACACCTGGGTGGGTGCCATCAGTGCATGACTGAGATGCAGCTTTTGGTTCAACCATTCATATAGCCATTGGAGTTTCAATAATTGAATCGAGCTAATCTTCAATAACAGATTCAATTATTTCAATATCCATTGGGAAATGCTGTGTACCCAATTTATTGACATCGAGGACATTATATAAACTTATGAGACAGTGACGTTTACCAAGGAGTAATTTGCTCCACGTGGCACTATATGAGTGGGCTTGGTAATTAATGTTAATTTAAATATTTTTTTTTTGGTTTCCATTTATTTTTGAACTTTTTTGCTTTAAAGAGGAGGTTATCTAACATCCTTTGTGGCCGTAGCTTGGAATCTCTTTATCGCAAAGATCAAATTAGCAAAGAAAATTTTGAAGAGTAAATGCTATAGTGTTCGTATAAGTACACATTCAAATTTATGGTCACATCAATTATTTGTGAGGAGATGATGTGACAATTCAAAAGAAGATTTTGATACCTCCACCTTTGTGCTTATTATGGACTAATATTTTTCAGGTACATCAATAATCATAATAATAAATCTTGAATGAAATTATTGTTAAAAAAAATTAAGGGGGTATGGTTTCTACTTATGAATTCTACATTAGCTTATGATTAAATTCACTTGGAAGAATCCTATCTAAAAGGACGTTTAAGAGATGCTTGCTGAGTGAGCACCTAGGGATCCAGAAGTAACTGTGAAGGATTGCTAAACATCTTAGAATTGAAACTTAGGATCATATCAAGTTAATTTGCCTTCCAATGGAGTTTTATAACACATTATTCAAAGATTTTACACAAGATTTTAGAAAATAACTTAAAGAAAGTGTTATTTAATTAAAAGATAGAACGCATGATTTTGAGAAATGTTTAAAGCCATTTTTATTTTATTCATTGAGATCTACTATTTCATCACGACATAATCAACAAAAAAAAATTGACAATCATATTGTGTAACAAAACTTCAAACATAACTCTATAAAGGTACTCAGTATATGATATTGACCTAATCAAGGTCATAATAGCCCTCTATACACATATGATACGATATTTTATTGTGTATTGTTTACAACTTTAAATGTTGATACTTTTGTATGTGTTGAACATTGATTTATCTGTGAATCACACCCAAAGAATAAAATATAAGACATAAGAGTGAGAGAGAGAGAGAGCCAGCGCGCATGAGAGAGAGAGGAGAGAGAGGGTAATGCACAGTAATGAATAGTTAGCTTAATTGTTGATCAACCCTTTCTCAAAATGACTCCCCTATTTATAGATAAGGGGGTACAATATATGAAATTATATGTTTGTCTCTGTTTTAATTGTCGGCATAAATCAGCAAGACTTGGCTCGATCTATTCTTCTGACTACATTAAATAGTGGTTGTTGGTCGACTAGTGATGGTCTTAGGGCCGACAAGACTCAGCTCGATCATCTTGACTTTATTGTTCAACTATTCCAGTCTAACTGCCGACTATCAATTCCTAAGGTGAGGAGCTCCTATTGACAAAATGAGACTAGGCTATTAGGCAAAGGATGAATCACCCTAATCTGTCATATAACACATTCCTTTTGTCAAGTGAATAATAACTCCTTAATAAGTCAGGAGAAGCTAAAGATCAGTTTTTTGTTTATTTTCTTCCTTTAGTCAAGCTAAGGTGAGTTATTTCAGGTTTAACTAATTAAATAAGAATTTGAGATTTCCAAATTGGATTACTGCATTACCATGTTCATCAATATCTTAGGGATTAATAAAATCAAATTTAATATTGCAGGTGTAAAAAAGTTCCATAAGCCAATGCCACAAATTTGAAAGAAGCAAGTAATACATCAATGCAAGAGATTTATTTTAGGAACCAAAGCTAAAACTTTTACGCCATACTCAACCTCAATTGAGAGGTAGAATAGAGTTGAGACATTTGTAGATTCAATAAACACCATGATTTCAGACCCTGGTATACCCTTTCTCCTTTTGAAGATGTACAAATTTTTGTTTGCTTCAATCATCCTATCATCTTTATTACCATTACCATTTGACCAACATTTGACAGCAATTGTGAAAAATATTCCAATCTATAGTTATTTTAAAGTGATCACACACGATCTATTCTCGATTTCAGAGAAATGACCGAATAAAATAATGGACTATTACACAAATAACGTGGACCTTTGAAGGATAATCATTACTTTAATTCCCTGTTGGAGAAAATTTGAAGAATAGACATCTAAGAAACTCTATTAAAAACACCATAAGGTAAATTGAAAAAGCTATGTACTAATCTTATTGGGAGCAATATAAATGAGAGGATATTAGAGATCATACATATGAATCTCCTATAAATTTTCATGTTCATGAGAAAAAAAAATCTATTTTTAGAGCTTAGAATGGAGACAATTAAGCTAGTATAAGCCAAAAAAGAAATATGAGCAAGGGCAACCACACGAAGAAAACCAAAATTAATATTATTTCATTTAATGAACACCACCACTTACAAGGAAAGGAGAGAGAGCCCCACCCTACTTAAAACATAATTACCCGTAATGTCAATTATTCAAATCCCTTTTAATTAAATTACATTTCAATTAGTATTCTTAACCTCTTTGATTTTGAGGCTAATTACACAAGAGAAGGTACATTCAATTTACATCAATATAAAATTAAATATATAAGAAAAGATTAACTTTAAAAAATTGAATAGAATTAATACATAATATTGGTAGACAGTAAGGATTAGCATCTCTCTTTTAAAAAAAAATAAGCGTCCGTACTGTTGGATTTAAGAAAATCAAGCCAGCATTGTGTAGAAAACATACTAATTATTTAATTAGTGGCTAATCAAAGCTGTTAGAACATTAAACAAAAATAAAAGCTTACACCGAGAAGAGCGCCGCATTGGTTCCTTATTGGGCGGGCTTCCCAACTTTTTGTTTGGGCCTTCACACGCATTGACCGCATCACAACAAACCACATACCCATTTCCCAATCTCCCTCTTGTCGCCCTCACATTCTCTCTCTAGCTTCCATCTGTCTCTCTCTCTCTTTTTTAAATGGGACCCACCAATCTCCATACTTTGAATTACTAATTACAGAAGATTAGTGTTAATTAATCTTTAACTATGATTAGCTCAGCTAATCTTTGGTTAAGCATGAAAGCAAAGAATTGTTAATTTGCTCACAGCTTTAATCCCTTTATTTATTGAAATAATCAGTATTTGGATCTGATGTAGAGTGTTTATTTTTTATTTAAAGGAAAAAAATTAAGGTTTAATATTCAATTAACAAATTGTTAAAAGTGAATGGGCTTATGATTTATTTGATTAATTTTAGATAGGAATGTGGTTCTAAATAGGGCTGTCAAAAAAGCTCGTTGTTCGCGAACAGTTCGTGTTCGGTTCGTCAATGAGTTGGTGTTCGATTCGTTCGATAAGTAAACGAGACAAACATAAACAAATTTTTTTCGTTCGGTTAGTTAAACGAACCAAACACGAACAGTGATGCGTTCGTTCGTGTTCGAATCGTTATTGTTTGAAATATAAAATAATATAAAATAATTATATATAAAAAATTTATTATATTTTAAAACATTAAATTTTATAAATTATAATACATAATAAAATAATAATCATAATATATAAATATACTATAGTAGTAATATACTAATATAGATATTGTATATTTATATAATATAAGTTATATAATTAATATATAATATTATTTTTATATATTAATATTAGGGATGTCAAACTGGCTCGTCGTTCGCGAACAGCTCGTGTTCGGTTCGTGTTCGGCTCGTTCGTTAAGAAACGAACACGAGCTTATTTCAAACAAACTAAAATTTAAACTAACCGAACACGAACACAAGCTTTGTTCGTTCGTGTTCGGTTCGTTTACACCCCTAGTTCTAAACTCACCATTTTGTGGGCTATATGTGTCAATAAATTTGAGAAAACCTGAAAAAAGTGTTGGGGCTTAAAATCATACTGATTTCCTGACAGTGGATTGCTTTAGTGGTTGAGAATTTACTATTTTCAAATGGGACATGATTTTCAAATTATGTATTTATTATATTTCAAGCATTCGATTTTAATGGCTTAAAGGGAGATGAGCATTTAAACTTTAAATGTGATTTCATCCATCGCTTAGAATTATAATTTGTCCATGGATTTGATTTGTGGGCAGTTTATCACGTGAGATTACATTTCAGAAAACAAAAATTTAGAGACCATATTGTGAACAGTATAATTTTGACTAAAGTCGGAGTTATCTTAAAATCGGCTTGAAGGATTTGAATGTATCTGATTTGGTCGGGGCTCATTGTATTTGATTTTGAATCATCACGGATGGAAATTTATTCAAATTTGATTCGGTTCGAAGTCAAAATGAGCTAACTGCAATTAGGCTATTTTCTAACTCAGGAATCTTAAAGAACATGTTTGATTTGATTGAGCCAATTTAAAATTAATTAATATAAGTAAATTAAAAAAACTAAAAAATTATCCACTTTTATAGTTTAAATTCTTATTTAGCATCTCTTTAAACATATATATATATATGAATATATATATATATATATATATAAA